ACCCAGAGCCACAAACACCCAGTGGCAGGAGCCAGGAGGGACAGAGGGATTGGCCAAATATGAAACCTGGTAACTGGCTATAAATATTTACAGGCTGGCCTCAGCTTTGCTCTGCTGCATCAGAGGCTGGTTGGCTGGAGTGCAGGTATTAACTGTGCTGCTCCAGGACCTCCAGCAGCACCACCACCATCTCCACTCAGTGTCCTGAGCACATCCACTGCTGGGGAGGCCACTGGATGCTCCTTTTCCCAGCCTGAGGAGCCAGTGCATCCTTCCTGCTGGTGGTGTGTCCACAGCAGAAGTTCTGCTCCCGTGCCAGCCCAGCCAGCCCTGCAGACAGAACTGCTCCAGCCAGGACTGCCTGGCCCAGCTGGGCTCTCCTCCCTAGAGCAATGGAAGCCAGTCTTGCCAGCACTGCTGAGGCCAAATGCCAGCTCTGGAATCTCAAACTGAATATCTGTAAAGCCAGGATGATCCATTTTTTCCAGGGAGTTTTTTGACCCAGCCCCTACACCCTTGTCACGAGCACTGTGTCTATTATCAGCTCTGTCACTGGAGCACAGATTGCAGCTGAAGCAACAAGTCCCTGATGGAGCTGAGTTTAGGAATGCCACAGTGCCACAGGCCTGGCTTCTCTCTAGCAGGACCACAGCCCTGAGCCCTTTAGGCATCTCACCAGAACTGAGGTACAACACAGCAAATATCTCAGCAACAGAGCTCCAGCCCGTGCAGAGCAGGAACCAGCCACAAGGGAAATTTGTTTGCCTTTTGTAAGAATCTGGACATTTTTGTGTGAGCAGAAGACACAGGTGTGGGGTCCCATGGTGGAAAATATATTCCAGACATAGCCTGTGCAGTTTCAGAACTGCGTCACCTGAGCTGGCCCATCAGAGGAATCCTTGATTTTGCACTTTGAGAAATGGACACCAATGCAAATAGTCACCTCAGACCACTCAGACATCATTTAGCTAAACGGCTTTAGGATGTTCATGGCTATTTCAAAGCTAAAAATTAATGGCAGAGTACATGGAGAAGGGAAGAAATTTGCATTAAACCTGGCCCATCTGTCACTGAGATACACAGCCATTTCCAATTCTCTCTTATTGCAGATGTCAAAAGCTTCAGAACCTGTGAGAATTCACATAGCACATCCAAAGCACCAGTGATTAATATTAACTACCTGAAAAAAGGGAAAAGCAACCAATGCTGCATCTCTTGTTCTCTTTTCTCTTGTAGCTGTGGGAATTCTAAGAGTGAGCTGTATCACAGAAGAGCAGATTCAGCCATCCATCATCAAAGGGTGAGAGGAGATGCTTCAAGGCACTGCAGGGAATGAGGATGCTGTGAGGATGTGGAGACCTGCTGTCCTTAGCTGGTTTCAAGGTCATACCCCTGGAGCTACTACCCAGAAAAGGAACATTTTGGTTCAGACCAGTGCTGAGAGGAGGAAGGGCAAGAGAAAAATCTTTGCTGCTGCCTCAGCCCAGACACATTTACATTGCCAAGTGTTTCCATGCTCAGCCAGTTGGTGTTTTCCTATTCTCAAAGCATCCTTTGCCCTGCAGTGCCTGCCCTGCCCAGCACCCATGTGGGCAGGCTGGCATAACTGCCCTGGCTGCTGCAGGTGGAAGGGCTGGCATGCTGTGCAGAGCTGACAGCTTTAATTTATGCACATTTTCAATCTTTTCCCACATTCCTGGGAGCTTATGCACACAGGAAAGGGAGCAATGTTCACACATATCCTTAAAAGTAGCCATGACCACACTATTGTGGAACATGCAGGCTTAGGAGATTGCAACCATATATGGGCTCCTTGGGGCTGGAGCATCCCTGGCACCCCTGGGAGGAGGACAGCTGGTGGAATTTCCTATGAAAGAACAATTAATAAAGACCCAATCCTTTTGTGTATACACATGTCTAAATATTGGACAACAGATTCAAGGCTTTGCTACCCCAGAATCCTGAACCTTACCGGGCTCCTGCACTCATTCAGAGATTTGTAGCCTCTGACCCAGGTTCCAAGAGCAGGGACTGTGAGGGCTGGAGACAGGAAAAGCACCAAGAGGGGCTGTTTAAGGTCTGCAAGTCCCAAAGGAACATGCTCCAGAGCCCTGGTCCCCAAACACTGCTCTGAGAGCAGACCTCCAGCAGCCCTGAGTGGTGACAGGCTGGAATTCTGCTTTCCCTGGCTGGGAGGGGAAACAGCTCACCCCAACACCTCACCTCTGCAGCACCCTGAGACTTTGCTTTTCTTCTTATCTGAGCTCCAGGAGCTTTCAGGGACATCAGAGCTGCTGTGCCACTCCCTGCTTGGCCACAGCAGGGACAGGGCAGCAGGAGCCAGACTGTGCCCAGGGCTGCCACAAGGTGCAAAGCAGCCCCTGGGGTTAACCTGGCTGCAGGCACCAGGTGTGCTGCAAATGCTCTGGGATAAATGAGGCTGCTCCCAGCTGAGAGGGGGAGGTGGAAAGCAGGGGCACACACAGGGTTTGTGCTGGGCAGGGCTGCCACTCCTACACTGGACACAGAGAGTACACAAACACTCCCAGTCCCTGGGTTCCCTCACCAGCCTGGCAGATTTTGTTAGGGTTGTCAGCAAGGACACAATTTCTCCATTTCCATATTAATTGCCTTGTCTTCCAATTATTCTCCAATCACAGACACATGTGGCCAAAAGAGTTTTTTTGGTTTTTTTTTCATTTACTGTTGTGAGATTATAATTGGGCTCACTGGCATCTGACAGGCCACCTCAGATGGCATCTTCACCTCACCAAGAAGTGTTTGTGTTTCCTCCACAATACTCCCCACATCTGGTGAGAAACACTTTTGGAGTTGTGACAAGAGAAAGCCCTCTTGCAACAGTGCAGGCAGCCATGATGACCACAAATTGGCTGCAGATGTCAGCAAAGCCTGTGCTAGGAATGGCCCAGTGCCCAGGTGATGTGGGACACACACCTGTACACACGGGGAGCTCGTGGGGGAAGGTGCCCTTGTACAGCTCATCTCTGACCAAAAAACTCACCCTGCAGTCAGCTTTGGCCACTGGCTTTAAACTCATCATTCTGAAGCTTAATAGGGGAAAAAATGGCCAACAAGCATCTGGGCTTAAAGGGGAAAACAAGGCACAGGGGAGATGTCTGTGAGCTCCCCCATACTCCAGGGGTTTGGGAAGCTGGTGGCTCCTGCCAGGGCTGAGGCTGTCAGAGCAGTCAGTGCTGCAGCAGGGTCTCCTCTCCTTTGTGCACCCCAGGACTCGGCCGGATGGTGCCTGAGGTCTGGTGGGCCCGGCAGGGCAGGGGAGGGTCCCTGGAGCTGGCCGGGATCTGCAGGGACACGGTGCTGATGGACAATTGCTGTCCTTTCCAATATTGCCATCTAGAGGACCCAGCAAGGACCAGAGCTCCTTGCAGGCCATGATGAGATAAGGAAGAAGAATCAAAGCCTTGCTTTGTTTAAATTTTACCCCATATAAATGCTGGTCCAGCATGATGTGGAGAGGGAGAGCCAAGGGTGCAGAAGTGCCTGTGGTTTTGGGCACAGCAAACAGGATTGCTCTAAACACAGCCCTGTGATTTTTTTGAGGCTGTAGATACCCAGTGCTGGCCCATTTCCCAGCACTTTACTGATCCCCACATGAAGGTGGACAGATGGTACCGACTGAAAGCTGCCCCTCATCAGCTCAGACTGAGCAGAACTAATAAAACAGGGACTAATCAGCAAATGGCAGCTCTGTGCACCTCCCTGCAGGGGAAATCCCCCTCCCCAGATCATGCAGGGGACTGCCTTGTCCCTGCTTGCTGTGCCCCTGAACAGCACCCGCCCAAAACACGTTTGCATGGCTGATATGAGATGCACAGGGAGCCCATCCCAGGGGTGCCCAGCTGCAGCTGCCTGGGCTGGGGAGGCTGGACACAGACCAGGGCATCCCAGCTACATTTTGGGTACTGGGGATACCACTCACCAGTGGTTTGGGGCCTGAATCATACCTTGTTTCAAGGAAACAATGCATTTGAAGGGGTCTGCTGCACTTCTTGGAGGGTTTGGGAAGGTGAAGGGCTGCCAAAAGGCATTTGTTCAGTTGCTAAATGATGCCCTTGTTTGCTTTATACGTGCCCAAGCCCAACCCCAGCTGGGCTGGACAGCACATGTCCAGTGGGATTAGTGCTGTTTATTCTGTCAGGATGTTGAGGTGGGAGTGCACAGCAGAATTAGCATCACTTCCTAGCAAGAAAATCATGTAACACCTTTGTCTCCTGTCCCATTGCTGTGACTTCCAGTAGCACAGGCCACCCACGAGCAGCTGATGCCAGGCACCCCCCTCTCACTCACAGCTTTTGTGAGCTGCAGGCTCAGTTTTGGGACAGCCCAGCAGGACAGTTCAGGACCCACCACCCCACACAAAGGCCACAGTCCCTTTGGAAAGCAGCACAGACAGACCCTCATCTGCTGTGGGTGGGAGATTAAGTGTGGTAAACACCTACCAGGTAAATAGGTGTACAGGTACCTGCCTCCTGCAGCCAGGCACAGCTGTGACAAGGTGGTTTTACACCATCCAAGGGATGAAAGCTGTCCTTTGCAAACCAAAGCCCTCAGAAAGAGATTCCTGAAATTTCTGAGGTGCCCTCCGTACTGAAGGGTTGTAAAGAATTTGAACTTTTCAGCACGTGGCACCAAATAAATTGGTGCAGGTGGGAGTCAGAGGGCAGAATCACCAGCCAGGAGCCCACGTGCAAATTCAACAGTCCCAGGGATATAAAAGCCTGGCAAAGCTCAGGGACCTTGGTTTTGCAAACAGCCCATGGTGATGCCTCTGTGCAGGTCCACTCCCTGCCCCAGGGCTGGGAGTGAGCAGCACCATCCCAGCTGGATTTGCTGCTCCTGGAGGAGCTTTTGGCAGCCAGCATGGCTCTGCTCCCCAGCCCAGCTGCCCTCCAGTCCCTGGGGTCAGCATCCCTGGCTGCTGCCAAAGGCCATGAACAAACTGCTCTCAGAAGGTCCAGTGGCACGTGGTCACTTTGCTACAGATTTATTTCCATGTGAATTAATGAAACGGTACACACAATTCCAAAAAAAAAATAATCATCTTTTATAGGCCCATAATCCTTCTTTCACAGTACAACGCAACAGTAAAGGATTTAGTCAGTGTAAACAGAAGGTCCAATAGTGATCATCAGCTATCACAGATCAGCTGCACAAACACCACAGCTACGGGGTTAATGCCATTACCACACAAATTGACAGTACCAGTACAAATCATAACCTTACCTACAATGCTTTTTCATGTGCAAAAACCATGGAAATTCAATTTACAGAAGAAGGGCACCTTCTCTAAATCTTCATGGGGGCTGTAAAGTTCCTCCTCAGGGCTGGCTTATCTATTTGGCAAAGGTCTCAGGCCCTGGTTTTCCAAGGCACCCTTAGCTCCATCTGCAGCACAAAGCATCAGGGCTCTGCCTCTGCACACCAGGCATTCCCAGCACAGGAAATAATCAGCTGAGGATGAATCCCATTCATTTAGGAAATCACTCAATAATTTAAGCTTAAATTCACTCATTGACTAAGGCTATTCAAAACAGTCCTGGTTATATTATACATGGATCACAGTGCAACCCATAAAATCACCATTGGTTTACTTTTTTTCCTTTCATGTAACTGAACTGCTGTTGGTGTCAAAAGCTGAGGCTTCTGGCAGTGAGTGGATGAATTACTGAAGTCAAGGGGTCAGAGGAAGAGAAGAATGCTACCAAAGCCGTGGGAAAACATCACCTTGTGGTCACCTTGCAGCAAATTTGCACCTCAGCTGGGAATGCCTGGGAGGGAGCCCTGGGGCAGCAGAATGTCCTGCACCTCCAGCTGCACCAACTCTGTAAATTGAATTCATAGTCAGGCTATACAGGAAAAAACAAGAGGTAGTTATTAATCATACCTCTTCAAAAAGGCAGAACGAACAAAAAACAGGACGTAGAAGTGATGCAGTAAACCTAAAATCAACAGGTTTCTACTTTTTTTTCCTCTTTTTTTTTTTTTTTAAACACATGAAGTTAAGTTACAGACATCATATAAAATGCACACTCACTTTATGGAATTCCTGCATAGTAGGAAACAAAGGCCAGTGCTAATCCAACAGCTTTGTTAACAGCGGGATGCCATTTACAGGTGCAAGGAAGATGCCCCAAATATATCCAAATATAAACAGAGCATTACCTCCCTTCTAGGGAAGTCCTATGGCAACACTTACACATTTTGTTCAGAAGGAAAAAGAAAGCATTTTCTTGGGGATAAACTGCCAAAATAATTATCATTTCACATCCATAAATTTAAGGCAATGTTACTTAGACCTGAGAAAATGAAAAAAAACCAAACAAACTGTGTAGATTTATTTTCTCAACTATACATATACAATTGAAACTTCAGGATTTTCTGTCTCCTCCAACTCTCAGGTGGTGCTGGGGAAAACAGCTGTGGGGACACTGCTCTGAGGCCTCAGGGTCAGATCCTGAGAGATGCAGAGTTTGTTCCAAAGACAGCTAATGGGAGCTGGGAGTGCTCGGACTCACCTGGCTCTCTTTCATGTATTTTCATTTTAAACACCTCTGTTTAAGCCCTCTGGAGAGGGTTAACTCCAGAATGGGCCTGTAGTGCACCAGTAACCCTGAAAGGTTTGTATAGAAAAACTGTAGATAAAATAGACAATAAAATTACATACAGTAAATTTCCATGATTCCCCCTTTCCGGGATAAAAAAGATGTCAGGGTTAGCAGTTTCACTGCACCTTTAGCCATTCCCATAACTACAGAATAAATCCTTTAACACTAGTGTGAAATCGCAAATTGTTCTGTGCTCATCCTTGAAAAAAAACAAACGTAAATTAAAACCAAAAATCAACTCACAAACATTTGTCATTAAATGATAAGAGACACAAGAAAGGTCGGGTGGGGACTGCAGACACACAGCATGCTGAGGAGTTACCAAACAAAGTGCAATGGTTTCTGACTCTGCGGGAGGACGGACGGACAGACGGACGGCTCCCCTTCGGTACCAGCTGATGCCTCTGGAGAGCTCCGGAGGTACCGTGTGGATCTGCAGCCTTAAAGCTCGAGTTTGAGGATGGCTGTGCTCCACAGCCCCATGTGCAGCTGCAGCTGCAGCAGCTCTGCACACCTTGGCTACATCTGTGACCGCAGGACAGGGATTGGCCCGCGCAACGACACGGCCGCTTCCCGCACGGGAAACTGAGTTGCCAAAAGAGGATTTGATGGCTGGGTCGAGAAAGCTGCTTGAGCCACAGCTGAGAGATGGACTGAGACCTAAAATCTGTGCACGCCTGGTGTAGTTTCTGTGGGATTGCCTCCTTCTCCTGAACACAACTACGGACACCAACCATCCCTCTCTCCTGCTCCCATCCGGGCACCCACAGCCCCTGCTGTCAGCTTTGGCTGGGGCCTGCCATGAGCCCACTAAGGCAGGGCTTGGGCAGAGGGTCACTAAGAAGCAGAAAGTCTCCAAGTTCCCACAGTGAAACAAGTTTATCACCATCCACTGCCTGGTAAGAGGGTCTGTGAGCAGATTTTTTGCTGGTATTTCAAACGTGACTATCCAAAGATCAGAGACCAAAAGAAACTCAGCAAACCTCATCAGACCAGGAAGCAATTTCCACTGCTCACCAGCAACTCCCTACCCTCCTCTCCCAGGTTCAAAGGATGAACAGGGAGTCACAGCTCCTTTACTCACCCGCTGGGAACTAAACCCTTCATCAAATCACACATTAACAAAGCTCACTGTGTGCAAAAGACTCTGACGCTAAAACAGTTCCACCCTACATAGTGCAGTCAACACAGTTTTTAACTTAAATTTGCAGCTTGTTCTTTACAAGTGCTTGGCAGAGAATATTTATATTCTTTTGACACCATATAAATAATATTTATACAGCTTAGACATTTTGAGACATGCATTAGACTTTAGGTAGTACATACTTCTTGATCATATATGCAAATATTACTGTCAATTAAACCGAGCAACCTTAGGCTGGGCCGTGTCTCGCGCTGTCCAGGACGTTTGAGGGGGGCTCCGAATCGTCCATGGGCAGGACCAGGCGCGTTCCCCGGATCACCAGTTCGTGGTCCCCAAAAGCCAGCTCGCGGTCCAGGGCGTCCTCGGAGCCGTTCCCCGCGAAGCGCCGGGGCGCGCCGCTGGGCGCCACGGCGTCGGCGCTCACCGCCGAGTCCCCGTACGTCAGGCTGATGTCCCCGTCGTTCAGAATGAGGTCGGAGTCGTCGTCCTTCAGCTGCTCCTGGTTCTGGGGAACAAGCAGCAGCAAAGTGCTGTTCAACTCTTCCAGAATGGCTGTTTACAATCGCGTGGTGATGGTGACTGAGCAGAGACACGGGCACAGAGCCACAGGCTCTCCTGCACCCTGACCAGAGCCAGACGTGGCACACGCACATCTCGGAGCCCAAGTGACTCACAGCACGCAGAATTTCTCTGCAGACTGCCTAAAAGGGCTCTCCCAGCTCTTTTCTTTCTGGTGCCATAGCCAGGTACAAGGGGAATGCAGCACTGAGTGGCTTTAGCCACACTCATGAACACAGGAATTGCATTGCTGATCCCTCACAGCCATTTCTGGTTTGTCAGGATGCTGATACTGTGCAGATAGCACAAGAAGACTCCTGGCATGGAGAGCTGCCACTGCAAGGGGCCCCTGGGCACAGCAATACTGGCTGCCTTTCTGGTAGTGAGTGATGCAGCTGAAAGGGCTGCAGGAATGGCTCAGCTGTAAGGCTGGAAGCAAGCAGGGGACAGGGAATTGTGTGTCCTCCCAGCTGGGCCTGAGGAAGGACAGCTGTGACAACTTCATTGAGCCACTCACTGAGGAATCACCATGAATACACCCCAAACCCTTCCATGACCTAACAGCAGGCTGGAAAAGCAAAATCCTCATGGGAATTAGCTCACCAATACCTGATTTCCCTCATGCCCCCACCTTGACACTACAGAGCAGCATCCAAAAGAGAAACATAAACACATCAAACCCACAACACTGTGACAGAAAGGACACTAAAGAACTCACCTCATACGCCTGTGGGCTCGTCAGGCACCGGGCAACAGGCCCACAGCACCCTGGGAGTGTGGTGGTCAGAGGGGGACCACTGTGTGTCAGGAGAGGCTTTAGATAGCTATGGAGAGGGTTAAGGAAAAAAGAGGAACGGGGCCATGTTGGTGAGTAAAGGGCTGGGAGGGCAGCACTGAAGGACTTGGCATTGTGAGGAAATCACAGAAAGAAAAGGAACACAAATGTGTGCAAGCACAGAAGTTGTAATGGTGTGCAATGAGGATGCAACCAAAGACAGCAGGACACAGTTCTGGTGAGATGCTCAGCAGCACTGCTTGTCCCACCCTGTGCCCCTCAGCCTCACATTGCTCCTCCACTAATTCACAGCATCTGGAAAGGAGGACAGGCACACATCTGCCAAGGGGAGCTGCAAGTAAGAAAACCCCCATCCTCTCCTGCCCACCTGCCCCTGGGATTAAGGACCCCCAGGATGCCAATCTTGGAGAGCCCAGCTTTGAACAGAACTGCTGCTGCCCTCTCACAGACAGAGGGTGGAAATCGTCATTTCTTGCAGCCACAGACAGGAGCAGGTACAAAGCAAAACACAGCAATGTCACAGGAAAGCAAGCACTGGCTCCTCTGCAAGCAGGGAGGAACTCATGGTCCCATGAGAGTGTCTGGCAGCACACACCCACTGCTGCCCAAGGATACTTGTGGTCGAAGTTGTACCACATGCGGAAAAGCCAAGCGCTCTCAGCCTTCGTGCTCCTCCTCTCGCTCTCTGGGACCCCCTGTGGGAGAGAAAAACAGTAAAGAGGGGCAGGACAACAGGCCACGAGCTGGATCAGGGCCAGGAGACCCCATGGGACACTGGATTATCCCCCAGGGACACAGAGACACAGACTTTCCCACTGCCTCTTCAGAAGAAGCCTTTTGGTGGGTGTGTAAGGATGTTCACACCACAACAGGCTGCATTTAGCAGCATTTGACTGCCTCAGGGAGGTGGCATCAAAGCACAGAGTGACCATTTTGCTGCTACAGCCCTCCAGTGTCTGGCCCCAAGGTTTAAAAGTGCCTCAGAGCCAGCAGCTGCGCCCAGACACCACATTTAATAGTGACTGACAGATCCAACCTCCATCAGATCTCGCCTGACACTGCTGCATGCAAATAATTGTGTGGTATGGGAACTCCAGGCTTCCTTTTAGTCAGAGAAAAAAATATAAAACTGTTTGGAGGGCACTGTGAGTTACAATTACATATTTCATAGAAATCTGGCTTACAGATTTATGGCCCTGGGCTGCCTGTCACATTTGACGCTTTCTCTCCAGGAGGTGAGCAGCCCAATAAATGGGTCTGAATAAAATGAATCTCCAAGGTGCAGAATCCACACTGAAACCAAGGACAGCCACAGCCACAGCACGACCAGCTGCAGACACATGAATGAGACAGCTGGAACTACCAGGCAGGAAAACTCCCAGGGCTGTGGGGCTCCAGCATTGATCTCAGTGTGGTCAGTGGTGCCAGGGCTGCCACGGAACTACCCATAGGAAAATGGGTAAGCAGGGGCTGAGGGTGCCCATGGGTAAAAGTGGGGCAGATGCTACAAAAAGTGAGTCAGTTAATGGTGTTCCTGTACTGCCCTGGACACTGGGATGGGGCAGAGCCTCCATGTCATGCTCACTTTGGGATTTATTTCAAACCCAGCAAGGGAGAGACCGACTCTATTGCAGCAGCAACATGAACTGACTAAACAGTCCAGCATTGCTTCTGTGCCCTTCTTTCCAGCTGAGTCAAAACAAGGCTCATGAACACCAGAGAGCACAGAAAAGCTGTGATTCCCACTGACTGCAAACTCTTTCACAGGGGGAGCTAACACCTCCTGCAGCTGGAAGGAAGCAGAGCAGACAGGCATTCACAGGGTCAGGATGTGACCCCTGCCCCGAGGGCGCAGTGTAGCTTCCCCAGCAGAGCACACTCACCACGTTCTCCTGGTCTGCATCCACACCGACCCTGCAGGAGAGAACAAGCACAGAGTCACACAGCACGCCTGGCCTGGGGTCTGGGGGAAGGACAACACCAGGGATCTGAGACACGAGCAGAGGAGCTGGGAGCAGGTTGGGGGAGGCTGTGCTGAGGCAGGGCAGCCCCGCACTGACCTGCTGTCATCATGTTACAAAAGTTCCATACTGTTGTCTCCTCATTGCTAAAGTTTCACACCTTCTTGGTGTTTTCTAGTGGGCAGCTCCTCAGAGCACTGACTCTTTCTTTCTCACAAAGTCAAAGTCACCAACTGACTCCAGTTCCTCACAAAGTCACCAACTGCAGTTCCTTACAAAGTCACCAACTGACTCCAGCTCCCCTCTCAGCCAGCCAACCCACTCTTTTACAGCACTCTTCTTCTCACTGGTGACAGCTCTGGCCTGTTAGAGCCAGGCCTGTTCCTAACCTTGGTAACCGGCCCAGCTGCACTCCTCAGGGGTGAGATTACTTTCTGCACCATCTTTATTTTCCTCCATCCCATCCCCGCCCCGGCACTGACCGGATGTTGAGGCAGGACAGCATGGCCGTGGTGCCCCCGCCGAACACCCAGACAGTGAAGAAGACGATGAGCAGGGTGGTGCTGAACATCATCTGCCGCGCGTAGGTGGCCGTGTCGCGGATGGCCAGCGCGAAGGCCATGGCTCCACGCAGCCCTGCAGAGGGGCACAGAGCAGCTGTGGCAGCTCCCCACGTGGGCTTCACCTCCTGCTGCCCCTCTGCCAGGACACCCACCACCGGGGGAGAACGGGGATGGTTTTGTCACCCCTCTTTCCGAGCCCTGAAAGGCAACCCCTCCTCCCGCCCTGTAGCAGTGTGGGTTTTGTTTTATTAGCATGCTTGCTGTTTGATTTGTAATTTCGTAATTTCCTCACCCTGTCGTTTTTGTTCCTGTCGTTTCCCCGGAACTTTCCTCACTCCTTCTTTCATTAAATATCAGTCTTTCCCTGAACCTGCCTTCCCTCAAGAAACTTCCCTGTCAATTTTGTATTTCTCCAAACTTTATTAGTTCACTGAAGCCGTTCTCCTCCCTTGAAATTCTTTATTGGTTTATACATTGTATTCCCCGCCTTGTTTCTCACTCCAAATTCTCCTGATTAGCTAAAGATTGTATCCCCCCTTGAGACCTGCCCCCTTACATACGCTGTTGTTTGCCCTCAGTTCAGGGTCCTGGGATGCTGAGGAGGAGAAGTTTTGCCATCAAATAAAGCTCCCCCAGTTCCAGCCCAGGACCCTGGTGCTGCTCTTTTGTTTCCACGCTGCACCATCACTGCTGGCTGGGATTCAGCAAAGCTCAAAGGAAGGGGGGCTGTCACACCCCTGTCTGTCATCATCTAGCCAGGACAAGTGACACTGGCCCATGCCAGGTACTTGAAGCAGGACAGGAGGAGCTCATTCCTACATTTCACACCATGAGTCCCTCCCTGCCCAGCCTCCCCTCCAGACATTGCCCATAAGAGATTTAGAGTTGAATAAGGAATGTTTCCAGGATCTCAGGGGCAATGGGCCACGTGGTCAGAGGAAGGATGCAGCAACGTACCAGCAAACATCATCATGTGCTGCAAATTCGTTCCAATCTTATTTCTTCTCCCCAAATTCAGTAAAAATGACAATGGGTAAATGTTGGCAGCTCTTCCTAGGAAGATAGCAAGCTGTATTTGCACATGTTAAGGAAATTGCTCTTCCTGTGTCTCCCATCACATCCTACCTGCACACAGAGCCAGTTTTGACTGCCCAAAGGAAACTGGGAGCCGCAGAAAATGCTGGTGCAAAGAAAATAACCCAGCCCTGAGTGCTACAGCACTGTGGGCAGAGCAGGCTACTGCCTCGCTGAAACACAGCCCACACTGCAGTTCAGGAATATCACACAGAGACAAGCACAAATAAACACAGGTAATGATGAAAGGACATGTTAGACAAGTGAGAGGAGAGAAAAAACACCACTTCCCCGCAGTATGCTCTCTGCTGCCAGGCCCATTTTGCACCCCAAGAATTATTTGTCTTCTGTGAAGCTCAAGTTATCACAGCTATGACAACCCCTCTGACACTCCCCAGCATGTCAGCATGTCATTCCCCATTCCATACTTCACAGCTGGGTTTGAAGCTTTAAGCCAAGTCTCATTCCCAAAGATTATTCAACAAAATGAAAGCAGCAGCAGTTGAGAAGGAAAAAAAAAAATCTAATACTCTTTCTGTTTTCATAGCCTGCGAGATACAAGAATCACCAGCCCCTTCATATTGCTTTTTATCTTTGAAGCTGTATCTTTTAATACCAGCACCCAGATGGCAAAAATAATCTTGGAGCCAGTATTCAGCACAGCCTTGAATAATATGGAAAATGCTTCTAGCTTTTATGTTCTTTCCTGAACATCACAATTTGCATAAGAGACGTATTTCATGATCTCTCTCATGAATGAGCTATTTCATCAGTGAGTTAGCCAGTTCCCACTGAAGAGGCACAGCACAAAATTCCAATATAACAGCCCAAATGGCATTTCTCTGCTCTCCACCCCTTCTGCCCCACTGCAACCCCATAAAAGCTGATCAGGGAAATTCAGCTGAGCCTGCTGAAAACCCACGGACCAGCACTGGCAAAAATGTTTTGTTTACCAGTATAAATTTGCATCAGTGCTGACAAAGGGTGAAAATAATTCTGCAGATTTAACTGGCTTTTCTGTGATGTGAAAAAAAAATCCTTCAAAATTCTTGTTTTTCTGAGACATACCAGGGCCCTTGTTCCCATTAGCATCAGGCTGCAGAACAGGAAATCCTTTCTCATGACATCATTCAGAGGCATCTAGTGTAGCTGCAACTGTGCTGTTTGACCAAAAAAAGGCTTTTTTTCAGGGTTAACCAAGTGCACTAGCAGAGAAGAGGAAATAAATGGCTAAATCAGGCAGCCCCCCTTTGCAAAGCCTCCCCTGGTGCCACATGACAAAGCCAGGCATTGGCATCTTGGTCACATTGAATGATGAGTCCCTGCAGCAGCTGATTCAGATGCCCACAAGAGGAGAGAAGACAGGGAAAAAAAAATAAAAAATAAAACAAAAAACAAACAACAGAAGAGCTGGGAAAAGAATCTCCATCTTCTTAAAATAACCAGCAAAGGCACCACTACGTGGCAGAAATCCCCTTTTAAAAATAAAGCTAGACTGACTGAAAAAAAACAAACCCACTCATTTGAATGAAAAACACAAACTGGAATGAGGCACCTCTCCCTTTCTTTCTGTCCTATAAATTGGGCTCCAAAGGATACAAAGGCCCCCACCACAAAGGTAGGGTTGAAGACATGGTTCTGGAAGGTGAACAGTGCAAGTCCCATGTAGGAGAAGATGAAGTTTTCTGCCAAGAAATTCAGAAGCTCAAACAACTGAAAGAGAAAAACAAATGAAAAGTGAGTTAGACATAATATAGATTTAACAAGAAAAGCATGTTAGCCCATCTGTCATGCAATAAATACTTCTGCAGAAGCAACCCTAGTGAAATGCAGCTGTAAGAAGACAGATGCACCTAATTCTGGCTAGAGGGAAAGAAAAAAAATTTAATTTGAAATTCAGAGAGGCTGAAAGGGTCTGAGGAGTTCTCACCTGCTTAGTTCTGTGTTGGGACTCTGTAGATAAGTTGTTATAGGTATAATGAGCCTGTGTGATCCCACAGAAGAGCACAGCCACCACACCTGGGGAGCAGAGCATCACATTAGACTCCTAGTCGGGAAAAGGGAGCCAAGCTGCACCCCAAGCCTGTAGGGAACTGAATGCAGCAACCCCAAAACCCAGAACCATTAAACTCCTGCAGGCAGAGGGAGAGCCCTGGCTACAACTGATACTGAGAGACGCAAAACTCAGTGGCCCCATCAGCCCTGCAGATCTCCAGGCCAGAGGCAGGGCTGTGCTGGAGCTTGCCTGTAAAGCCACACGCTTCAGCCAGCAGGAATGTGCTCCAGGACATCAGGAAGAACAAGCCAGTCTCCAGCAAGGGGAACTCCCGAAGTTTGGTGAACTTGGTGACGTTGCAGATGGTTAAGGACAATTTGGAGAGACACTGCAGGCTAAGAGCATATCAAATTCCAACTGTGTATCACAGCTACACAGTCTGCCCCTAAAAAGGCTATGGCACTGTCCTTCACTAATTTAGGGGAAAAAAATTAAACATCTGGGTGAAATGCAGTGCAGGAAAAAAATAAATAAGCTGTTATGCAAACACTTGGGAAAAAAAACAAACAGTGAAAAGGATATTAAAGCTGTCACAACTCCAGTAGCTGCTCCCATTGCAAAAGATCCACTGAATATCCCCAGGAAGATCCCGATGGACTTGAACATTGCTGTGACATCAAATGTGTGGCTGTTGTCACCCGCTGGCTGATACGCAACTATTGAGCTGGAAGAGGAGGGAAACACAAGAACAGAACTGCTCAGTCTGGAGGGAGAGGCACCTCACGGTGCTACACAAGCCTTGCAAAGTGCTACAACTGCTGCAAACACCGAGCCTGAGCAACCAGGGAGACACAGCAGCCTGCCATCCCCTGGGATCACAGCGTGCAGTGGCTGCACCCCATCATTGTCCTGGGGAGTTTGGGATCAGCCACCCCCTCTAGACCTGGATGTGCAGTTACTCCTGGACATCAGAGAGCAGGGGACCAAAGCCCATGCCTCATGTGACATGTGGTATTTATGGTGGTGTTTGGGGGATTTGGCAGCAGCTCTCTGTAATGCCAGGTGCTGTGGGACCAGGGAGCATTCGAGCAGGAAAGCTCCATTTCTCCAGCGAGGCGGCTGCTGTGAGCATCCCTGGAGAGCTGTAACTGCTCCTGTTCTGCCACATTTAACATGCACTGCGTTTAGTCTGCACTGCTCTGGGCTCCAAAGTGCAACACCACAGGGTAGCCAAGGCAGACAGTGCAGCAACACCATTCCCTGCATCCACCAGACCTCAACAGACCTCTGTGATGAGACGGCAAACAGGTCTGCAGTGCTCTCAACCTGCTCCCTCCTAACTCCTGATGAGCTGAGCCTTGCATTAGTCATTGTTCTACCTGGAAAGGCTGAGATACAGGGGGACCCTTATCCAGCTCCTAAATCCCATTCATCAACTCCTTACATCACCTTCCTTGATGTAAACTTTTCAGAAACATTAACTTCCTAGTTAGCAATCCCCTGGCTCACTCAGTTAAAGCTCCTGGATGTGAACTTTAAACGTCTGCTGTTTAAACTGCTGAGAGCAGACACTTACTGCCCTGCACACACATATTGCAGCTTTCTCCCCTAACTATACATCAACATTTTTCTGCAACAGAAATTACAAACCTTCCCTTTCCAACACAGGTAATTTCCCTTGCTAAAATTCCCTGCTTTTAATACAGCTCATTTTTCTGCATTGCCTTTCACACTGCAAGCTGCAGATTTCTCCATGCTTTAATTCCTTTCATCAATTCCACCTTATACTCCTCATTCACCAACATGCATTCATTCTGGGTTTTCAGGTTTTATTTTTTTTTTAAATCCAGACTGGTTTCACTTCCCCTCCATAACCAACTCTTTGAATGTTGATTTTGCATTTTAACCTCTTACAGTTCTCCTTCTGGCTTTGTTTTTTGCATTGCCAATAAGACACTATTGCCAGCTGCCCTTTATTTCCTTTTTTGCTGCCCATAGGGCTTCCTGTTGTGTTTAATCCCTGTGAATCCTCCCTTTGGAAGAGGCAGGTTGGGAGCCTGCAGCTGCATTTACCCCTCTGCTCCCAAACTGCAGCTCTGGCACCTCACTGCCCACCAGCTTTCAGTTCTGGGTTCAATTCCTCTTCATCCTGCTACAAGCCACACCAGGCCAAGACAGGAACAGAAAGGCACAGATCCTGCTCCTTAAGCATGGGAACAATTTGCCCAGGGCTGAAAGCAGGCAGGAGAGGAGCCTTGGGGCACCCAGACTGGGCAAAGCCCCTGAAGAGCCCAGCTCCTCATCCTCCCCTGCCCGCAGTGCTGAGGCAAAATAAAATAACTGCTGAGTGAACTCAGAGCTGCTGCCTCAGTGCAAATTATCCTGTTTTGGGGAGGGGGTGGCCTGAGCTCAGCTCATGGAGAGAGGAAAGCAGGAAATCAGAGCAACAGCTCCAGAGCTGGCACCGAAACAGAGCAAGAGGCAAATCTCTGCGGGTGGTGCTGTCACCCACAAACTCCACCACAAATTCCATCGCTCTGAAGATGAATCCACCCACTCCCACCCAGAACCTGCCAGCACAGCCTGCAAGACCCCATCCCTTCCTCACTCATGACCACTTCTGAAACACAACCTGGCTGTGCAGCGTTTCCTCTTGCACCAGCAGTGACAAACACAGCAAAAAAGCCAGAGTGAGCAACACAAAGAGTTCCAGAAACCTCAACAGAAACAGTCAATTCAGTAAATACAACACACAGCTCACAGTGTGTTACTTGCTGCCTCCAGTGAAACCCACACAACCAGCAGCCTGGAGTGACAAGTATTCCAGAAATATTTTCTCCATTAGTCTTAGCTATATGTTAAGCTGTCACCATTGCAGGTATTATATATTATGGAACAAATTGCCATGATGACAACACAGTGAAAACGCAGATAAAATATGTCCTGCATGCAAAGGACATAAAATATTAAAGAATATAAAACATTCTTTAGAAAGGCAGCAAGTTTCCCATGTGTTTAGTCAAGGGCATTAACTCCAGCTGTAAGAACATTAACTCCTCAAGTGGGGAGAGAAAGGAAACAGCTGCTTTACCAGCTATTTCCACCCAAACAAAAACAAGGGTTTGTGGGTGGGAAGCGAGGCAGGTAGGAGCAAAGCCATCAGCAAGGGGTTTCAGTGGGACCTTGTGGCTGAAAAGGAGACTTGGTGCTTTTCCTGTTCCAGAGCGATATAAAAACTTCCCTGTGGATGGGTCAACTGACCACAAAAACAAAACAAAACCATCCATCAGGCAGGGGGAAGATGTAAAGGCAATCCATAATCCCCAGCAGTGGTAAGCAGCGAGGGCATGCATCAGGATGTCACTACAGCTTTTTGGGACTCTTAAGATGCTCTTGCAAACACCCATGCTCCTGTTTGACAGGGGCAAGGCCGAGAGGCTGCCCTCAACTCCTGACATGCAACACACGGAACAATTGTAAATGAAAGCAGGAGACACTTACGAAGACAGCACTATGGCAACGGCATCGTTGAGGACGCTCTCGCCAAAGAGAAGGGCATACAGCTCCACATCGACCTGCAGCTCGTGGAATATGGCAAGGACAGTCACTGACAAACAGAAAAATAGAGACATTCAAATAGGTGCTGTTATTTCGCTGTAATCAAAGACTAAATGTCCTTTTTAGAAAGCTGCCTTCCTGCACATCTGTGCCACTGCTGCGATGGTGCCAGCTGCCCCCCGTGCTCTCTTTGATAGTCTTCCTTCTGCTCTTTCAGATTTGGATTTGATTCATCATTTCCCTCCTCCTTTCACTAAAACACATCTTGGCCTACTGAATCTTTTGCAGGCAGACAAAAACAAACTCTGCTCGGAGCTTCCCAGGGTCTGAGCTCATGGGCTGGGCCATAGTACCAGGCTGGCATGAGCCACCCAGCTGTAGGGATGCTGTCAGCTCAGAGCACCAGGGAGAGCCTTCCTGCACCTGCAGAAGGCCAGAAGGACCAGGCTTGTCCAGGATGATGACTGCTTTTTCTTTCCATTCCTGAAACTCTGAGAGAAATCCTTGGATTCAACACATTCTAAGTGCCAGCACAGACACAACATTTCAGATCTGACTGGAAATAGCCAGGCATCAGCTCAAACCCCATGTGGGGGTTTCTGTGATTTAGGACCACATGGCAGAGATCAGAGCTCCCTCAAGCTCTTCTGTGATTCAGCAGCTCCAAGAAGATAATGGAAAGCAGCAGGTTTTGCATATCAGCCTCACAGAGACACCACAACATCCAAAACTAGCAAGACGTGACACTCGGTGCATTGGGCTGAGCCAATTCCAAACAACTTCTGTGAGGCTTCTCAAACAGCACTCTGGGCACACTGAGGGGGGTTTAACCCATTTATGCACAGGGAAATGCTCCATCTCCACCTGTGAAATCTTCTTGTTCCTATTTCAAGCCCAAAGAAGGAACACGACACCAACAGCTCATCCGCAGCATTTCTAAGCATTTGAAGATTTGCAGCCCTGCTCAGCAAAGAGCAGGAGCAAACAGAGCCCTTTTTGTGGCCCTGTGTTTCTACATGAAATGAGAGCATGCAAGTGAACAGCTACGACATACAAGCTATCATGAACTAACTTCAGTTATTTGGACAAAGCATATTTTCCACAGTTTTGACTTAGAAAGTGCATCATTAAACCAAGGTGTCACTACTCCTCAGTACTGCTCATTAAGGTGTCTCATTAGTCTAATTTCAATTAGATTAGCCCCTGTCAAAATCCAGCCAAACTGGAAGCAGGACAAAATAGTTTAACTAACTAAAACCACCAACTGAACCCTCCTCACATCTTGTTCTGCAACAGCTGCTGGCACAGGGAGGCAGAGACACAATGCCAAACCCCAGCAAAGTCAAAAGAGAAGTTGCCAAGGACTTCACTGCAAACAAGGATTCAGGAAAGCAGAGGTTTGCTAACTGTATTGCACATAACTGAAGAAAATTAAAAGGCACAGAGACAAATCTGACTTCTAAGAATGTCACAAATAAATTAAGCTCCAAAATTCAGAAGGAAGGAACTCACAGAGGTTTCAGACTTTCTTCCCCTCTGCCCCACAACTCAAAACAGGCTAAAATGTAGGGAAAGCTTGTAACACACCTGGGTCAGTGGCTGACACGATGGCCCCAAACAGGAGGCAGTCAGTGAAGTAGAAATCTCCCCCGAGCTGCCCGGTGACTTTCATCAGCGCCACGCAGCCGTACACCACAGAGCTGGGGATCAGAAGAGGCAGTTACACATCTCTGCAATGCACTGAAACAGCATTCACATGGGCTTGCTTTCCCTGCATTTACCAGGTTAAAGCTATCCAAATGCCAGGACACCAAAGAGCTGCATGGGAAGCACAGAGCCTGGTGAAACCCCAGGGCAATGATCTTGGAGGTGAATGCTGGACCACACAGCAAAGCACCCTCTGAACTGGAGCACAAACATGCTGCCAGGAGGGAACTGGGGCCAGAACCCCTCCAGGAGCACAACATGCCTAAAGAAAAGCAGCAGCCAGGCTTATGGGGTCACAAAATTACTTTGCAGTGCTGCACATTAACACAGTTCAGTGAGGTCACCTTGGACTGACTCTGAAATGCCCAAAACTTTCAGTGAGGAGCAGATAATGCAGATGTTGAGTTTGCTTGAACCCACTGGACTCCAGTGGAGAACACCCTGTGTCAGCCTGTGTGCTACTATCCAGAGTTGGAACCACCCAGCAGCTCTGCACTGAGGGATAAACAATCTGAAACACATCTGTGCTCACTAGACACCCATCTCTATGATCCTGCCCTCTACTCTTGTGCCTCGAGTTTAGGAGGCCTTATGCTTCCAATAATTTGAAGTTGCTGATTTATCAAGACAATTTTCTCTGAAGTGTGAAACTTTTCTTGCCATGAATAAATATTCTCATGGGATGCTCAGATGCTGAGAGAGCACTTCACAATTAGACAGCAACCATCCTGCCCACACAGCAAGAAGTTTGCACAGTAAATAGTATTATTTGCTGCTGCTGAGCAGCAGTAGCAGAGCCTGTGTGACCTTTCAGGGCTGGGATTAGCAGCTTCAGCTCCAGGCTTAGAGCACTTCTCCCAAGCACAGCTCAAACCCCTGTGGAAGAACCAGACCAGCTCCATCTACTCACCCAATCACCAGGCAGGAAATGGCGGTGCCAAGGAAAGCATATGCCAGGATGGATCCCAAGTTTCTGAAGAAGTGCCTCTAGCAGGAGAAAAAAGCCAAAAAACTGAATTATATTTGCTAACAATTTATTTCAAGCCTGCACAGGCACCCATAGTGTCCACAGCAACTTGGACCCAGCTCAGACACCATGAGCTGGACAGGCACAGGGTGCCCAGCACAGCCCAGTGCCAGACCAGGAGTTAATGCACCATTAATGAACGTGAATGCACCATGTTCTCATGGTGGGTGTTTAATAAGGTGCTATTCCAAGTCCTGGGAACTGATTTCCTAACCCAGCAGCATTCCTCCTTCCTTCTCCCGCAAGCTAAACTGCATCATTCTCCTCTCCTTCCAAGTCAGCATTTCAGAGAGCTGCTGCTTTCTAAAACCTTCCCACACTCCCATGTGCTTGGAGAGCTGGGATGGCTGAAATGACCCCAAAAACCCCTGCTGGAAACAGCTGAAGTCACTGACCCTTCCTGACAAAGGGTCAGGAAGGGGCAGACGAGAATGACAGGGGCACCCTCAGCTCTGCTTCCCACAATCCTACATTTGCTGGGTAAAACCATACCCACCCCCACAGACCCAGCCTGCTGAGCAAGCATTAAAGCACTCACAAGTATTAAAAATTCTCTGGAGGCAGAGGAACTAAAAACATCAGCACTGTAAAGACACGTACCCTTTTCAAGCTGTAGCCTGCATAAAATATAATGGGGGGAAGCAAAATGTTGAAGAATACTTCAGGATCAAAAGTCACCTGTTAAGAAAGAAAAAAATCCAACAGTAAAATGATTTGTTAAAATTTTGCAAGACAAAACACAAATAAGAAAGTAACATATGGAGGAAGCCCCATAACCCCACCATGGGAATCCTGTTGGGTCAACACTGAGGATGTGTCTGGGATCTTCTGGAGACAAATCTCAGAGTCTGAACAGCCTAAATTAAGATGAGCCAAAACTAGAGTTTCATTACATTGTGTTTAACATATAAATTACTGTTTATCACAAACACAAGTTAAAAAACCAAAATAAAAACACTTAATCTAGCAGATCCAGGACCCGTTCCCATGGAGAGAGCGGGAAGCACCGCTCACCTCTCCAGTCACTGCCTCCCTTACCTTCCTCAGCATCTCATTATCCTGGACGTTGTTGAGCTCCTGGGCACTGATTTCCCCCTTCAGGGTGTACTCATAGAACTTGCCACTGACGTTCACCAGCAGCGTGGCCGGGCTGCTCTGCACCTGGCAGCTCAGGGTGACGTTGTTGACGTCGCTGGGGACGTGGATGCCGTAGCGCAGGACCACGCCAACCAGGACACCTGGGGAGGGACACAGCTCTGTGAGACAAACCACAGCAAAGCCCAGAATGATCCCTCTGAGCATGGATGCAGCACCAGGATCCTGACCCCCGCTCAGCTGCTGAGCACAGCCACAACCCAATAATTGAACCATCCTCATCCCCCATGAGCCAGGTGAATGCTCCGTGCTCATTGGGAGTTTCTAACACAGCCATGGAAAGTCCTGAAGGATTTGAGCCACCCAGCAATCAGTTAAACCCTCACTCCAGGGCAGCCAAACATTGAAGGCACGCTGGGTTAAGGTGAGCAGCTCATACTGCTGGGCCAGGTGCTGCTCCCACGTGCCCAAACTGTGCCCCTTGCACCTTGAAACCTGACATTGATACATCAAACTCTTCATTTTGGCAGGGATTAAAGATGATACCCAGCAACCACCCTGATCACTCTGAGGCTGGCAAGCATCTTTCCTAAGGTGCTGCAGCACTATGCAGCCTCCTCCCAGCCCTCCCTGTTTTTATAAAACCACATTTTGAAATATAAACATATAAAACTGTTTTCCAATCCACGCCAACCACCCAGATCTACTCCTTGCCCCTACAAACTTCAGGTCTGCACCACAAGCAGCAGCCCCAGGGCAGCCTGTGAGGCAACTCTGCCTCCAGCTCAGCAAAGCAGGGGCATTTTGGAGTTAATTTGCAAGTCAGCAATTTATAAGGCATTTTTCTTTTGTTGTCTGAGGTCTCAAATCCAGACTCAAGTGTGTTGAGTGCTCTCCTGGCAGAGTGTTTTGACATCTGCAGGCTGGGGAAGAGGGGTGTCCCACAAGACACCTTTCCACGCAGCCTTCAGCACAAAAGGGTTTGGAAACTCCTTGATGAGGGCGGCCCCGAGCTGCCACAGAAATCCTGGATCTTAACCCCATCTCTGAACCACACATTTATGAAAAGCTCTCAGACACGTGGGAACTGAACCCAGACCGCAACGCTCTGCGGGCTGCTCCATTTGCCTCCCAGGACTCCTGTTCCTGACTGCTGCCTCAATTACAGCCTTGCTCTCTGCTTTCCTACAGGGAGGGCACGGCCCTGACTGGGAACACCCAGCTCTTCCTGTGCCACCACCTCTCAGAGCAGAGCCTGGGCAGGACACTGTGGGGCCACAGCTCGTTCAGCACCTCCTGCAGCCAGCTCCTGGTCAGCCACACACTTTTTGACTTCTCCTCCCTTGGCCATAGTTTTTCCAGGACAAGATTTGCCATTTTTCCTGATGGCGAGAAGAAAAGCCCCCAGCTCCCATCTCAGGGGTGCCACACACAGCAGGGCCACCAGAGCAAACACCCAGGCCACGAGCACAGGCAGAAGAGGTGGCTGCACACAAAGTCACCACTGAGCTCAGCTCAGGGACTGGGCAGACCCAAAACCCTGGTCTAACACAGCACTTTGCAGCACAGGTGAGCTGAAAGGCTACAGATGCTTTTAAGCCATGCACATCAACCATGTGCTCACCACTCTGGGCTTTATCCTGCCCTGCATCACCCCAAGAGTCACAGAACAGCTCCCTCTGGGCACAGCCTGGCACCAGCAGCTCCAGCAGGGAGAGTTCAGGGCACATCACACTGTGCAGAGCAGCTGAGGGCTGCTCTTACACCACCACCACTTAGAGGAGACACCAAAAGTAATTCTTTAGCTTACTTTTCTGCCAGCCTCTGCTCCTCTGATCTTCCAGTGCTCCAGAAATAAAAGTATAGAATGAAAGCATGTCAAGCACATCATGATGCCACAGCATGTATTCACAGGAGCATGTGGCAGTGGCTGCAAGGCACCACAGCAGTGGGACAAAACACCCCATTTTCCTTTCACACACAAGATGACAATCCTAGAGATACCACGGGAAACAACCAAAACCCCTCACTGGGACAAAAGGAATTTCAAAGGGCTGTTAACATCTGCTTATGGCTATTAAGGTACACCATACTTTGCAGCCCTCGAGAACTACCTGGGCTGACTTTTAAAAAGTTTCTTCTTTAAAAAAAAAGTATTTCAGAGGTTCATGCAGGAATCAGAAACCAGCAGCTGTCTGCCCTTGCTCAGATGGAAGGAAACCCACCCAGCAACCCCTTTAACACCCAAGCTGAACACTGTGAGATGAGAGACCGCACAGGAGGAGGGAGGGACAGACAGAAGGAGGCCCTGCTGTGAATTCAGAAGGGATCCTGACTCACAGCCTCTCCACCCTTAATCCCTGTCCCAAAGCAGTGCTACATCTGACAGCACCCCTGCTCCTCTGCCATCTCCTTATCCAGGCAGCTGCTCCTGGCCCTGTGTGCCAGCCAAGCTCCACACAGGGCCAAATTCCCACTCTGGCCAGGAATGGGGTAAGAGAAAAGGGACAGAAAAACCTACAACATCTGCAAAGACCCCTGTTTGGGAGTCCCCAAATCATACTTTTTTGTTTGCTCAGTAATAGGCTGCCTGGGAGGCTGCCAGCTGGGGAAAGACACCCACGTGCAAATACACAAATACACAAAATTCTCCTGGGCATTGAGTGTGACCCTGCCAGCAGCCCTGACACAGAGACACTGGCAGAGGCACCTGCAGGGAAAGCATCCTGCTGGACACCAATTATCCCACCAACATTAAATGGCCCCACCAGCAGCCCCTCCTGCCCCATGGTGGGTCTGACCAACCCTCCCTATCCAACGATGCTCACAGGAGGCACCTGGGACAAACCTGACATGGTTTTCCAGGCACCAACCCAGTCCTGAGCTCTGGCTACCTGGACCAAGCCCAGGGGACCCTGCAGGTGCTCCTGGCTCCAACAGGCTCTCAGGAAATAGTTCAGACTCTCCTGGCACACACAGGGCTGCCCCAGCAGCAACCTGTGAGCCAGTATCGACATGTGCTTGCTGCCAGAAGCTTTACAAAACTGAGCCCTGGGAGGGAGCTGAGCTGAGCTGAGCAGAGGGAACCCAGCACTGAGGAAGCTGCCAGCTGAAAGCTGCAAGGAGTTGAGAAGCTGAAGGCAAAGCCGGCAAATTAATTGAGTTCTTTTATGCAAAGTGCAAGAGATTATTTTCATTGCATTTCTCCTGACTTCATTAAAAAGAACAAAAGCCCATGGGCTTTTTCTTTAGGTGCTGTTGAACATTTCCGAGGTAATGTTTTAAATGAAGACTAATATATTACCAACCCCAGCACTTAACAACAATGGAAGCAGACAGGATCCCCAGGCGAGCATTAATCTGGACACCAAAAGGGAAGAGAAATGTAACAACTGAAGACATCCTGACAACAAGCAGTTTAGACACACACAATCCACGGGTCAAGTGGGAACAAGCACGAGGAAACTAAACTTCTAGAGAAGCCACCATCAGACTCTGAGAAGAACTGAAACAAAATTGTTCAATTAATCATCCCAAATGCTGAACACCTCAGATGTGGGAACCTCTTTTTAAACACAAAATGAAGCTTAAGGGCTACTAAGCACTTATTTTCTGTAACTGAAATTACTCCAGCCAGTGTCCAGCTCTTGAACATCAGCTCTGAGCAGACAGTGTGATTTGCACCATAGAAATCCACCTGGAGCAAGAGCTTATAAATTCCAGTAAAACAAAGAGGACAAAGAAACTTATGTGTTTTGCCAAAAGAGATATATGCAAAAGTTTTGACTTAGTTGTTGTTGGGTTTTTATAAACAGAAAAAGACAAGCTTTTGCAAATTGCTTCTCTTGTTCAGATTTCAGGGTCTGTTCTGCAGCCCCTTCCACGTTTTCAGTGAACTTCCTTGGGGCTAAAAGCATTGCAGGGAGCCAGGGACAGCAACACCTCCTTTCTTCCCTGCAGATTTCAAGTTGTCACAGTAAAACAACAGCATCTCACCACTCCCTGGGAATCACACATCCCTTTTGCTATGGTACCTTCCACCACCTGAGAAGCAAATGCCAAAAGCCTTGACACCGAGGAAAATTTGGGATTTTCTGTGTGATCAGACAGGTGACGTTACTGAATTCACTAGCAATTCCCTAAGCACAGTCTGCAGAAGAGCAGACAGAAAAGGTGCATTTTGTGGACCAGCAGGAGACTGGAACAACCCAGGCTGTGCTCTGAGAATTAAGTGAGCACTCAGGTACGTCAGGGAGAGAGGATAGTCAAGAGGAAGAAATGTCCAGGAGAAGAAGAACAATGTTAAGGGGAAGTGTGAAAGCATGAAAGGAATAGAAAGTCACATGTTGGGAGCTTTGGGGCAGCAGGAGAGAGAAGACCTTCCATGCTGGAAGCACGTTCACCCACAGCACAGCTCCTGTCCCAGGAGGTGGCCATCCCCACCCTGGGCAGGAGGCCAGAAACATCTGAACCCCCCGAGTGGTGGCTGGAAGGAATGTGAAAATGCAGAGCAGTATTCTGTGCCCCTGAAAAAGCAGAGCAGTATTTCATGCCCCTGAAGGAGCAGAGCAATATTTCATGCCCCTGAAAATGCAGAGCAGTATTCTGTGCCCCTGAAAAAGCAGAGCAGTATTTCATGCCCCTGAAGGAGCAGAGCAGTATTTTGTGCCCCTGAAAATGCAGAACAGTATTTCATGCCCCTGAAAATGCAGAGCAGTATTTTGTGCCCCTGAAAAAGCAGAGCAGTATTTCGTGCCTGTGCGCTGACGCAAGTGCCTCCACCCCTTCATTTGGAAGGACACTTCCAATTAACTGAAACTTGGGATCACAAAAGCCCAAACAGGTCAAGTCACAGCCTTTGGATCAAAGCTCTCTGCTGGGTGGGAGATTCAGCCACATCCAACTCTGTGTGGTCACACATCACCCCCAGCCAGCAAGGGCCACGCAGAGGACAGGCACTAACTACAGCACACAGCAGATGCCTTCTCAACCCTAAACTCAACAAATCTTCCCTAGATACAGACCCATGGCCATGTTAATCATTCCCCAGCACACGTCCCAGTCCTACTCTGGTTGAACTCAAAGTCATGCCAGAGAATCCAAGGAGAGCCATGCACGGCCTTGTCATACCCTGCTTCAGGCCTCCTCACGAGGCCATGGCACCTCAGGAAATCACAGGCCACCACTAAAACCCAAATGTCCACAGCCCCACTGCACTGACCCCAGCCTTGCTCCGTTCCTGAGGGAATACACATGGGCTCCTCTCCAAGAGCTCCTGTCACAGCAGGAGGAACCCCAAAGGTTGTGCACCCAGATCCCCAGGCAGCAGGACAGAAGGCTCGTGGGAGAATCCCCCAAATGGCCTCTCCATTATTCCTGGGCAGCTTCTGGAAATCTGGATGCTCCATGTTGGAAACACAGCCCCAGCATGTGGGATCACAGAACCACAGAATGGTTTGGGTCGGAAGGGGACCGTGAGGACCATCCAGCTCCAACGCCCTGCCACGGGCAGGGACACCTTCCACTAGAGCAGGATGCTCAGAGCCCCATCCAGCCCGGGATGCGAGGCTCCTGACCAGTGCAGCAGCTGGTCTGTGCTGCCCCAAGTCCCCACTCTCAGCCCTGGAGCAGGTAAGCGTGACCCGCCAGGGCCTGGTGACACGCCAGCCCATGACCCTGCCAGCCTCACCCCGTGAGGCCTCTGGAAAAACCCAACCACATCTCACTGCCAGGGATTCGGGAGCGACTCTGCCTTCCAGAGCCCTCCATATCTGGGGTTTGGAAAACAACCAGCCCCGACCCAGCACCGCCCAGATAAGGCTCAGCACAGCGGCGCGGGGCTGTCCGGGTGACACAGCACCCACCGAGGCTGTGCCGCGTCCCCCAGACAAGCCCCGGCACAGCCAGGGCCCAGCAGGAGCGGGAGAAGGACGGCTGCCCCGGGACAGCCGGGCTGGCCGGGCTGGGCTCCCCGCTCCCGGGGCAGCTCCCGCACGGCTCTCCGGGGCGCGGCGGGCTCCGCTCACCGTAGATCATGGCCAGCCCGGTCTCGTGGAGGAAGCGAGCGCGGCGGTGCTTGAAGAGCCAGATGGTGAGGATGGTGAGGGTGAGCAGCAGGATGAACACCAGCAGGTTGGCGCTGTCCTGGCGGTGGCTCTCCTCCGCCGCCTTCTCGGACACGATCTCCTCCTCCAGCGCCCCGGGACGCGCCGCCGCCACCTCGGCGCCCGCCGCGCCCCGCGCCCACAGCCCCGGCCCCGCCGACACCAGGAAGCGGCGCTGGGCGCAGGCGCCGGGGGCGGGAGCAGCGCCGGGAGCCCGGATAGGGACGGGCGGCAGCGACGGAGCGGGAGAGGGGAGCGGAGAGCGGGCAGGGCAGCGCCTGGGGCGGCGTGGGAGGGGGAAAGCGGTGCCGTGAGCCCGGGGACGAGTCCTGGGGAGCGGGATCGGAGTTCCGAGGGGTTGGCAGGAGGGAACAGAAATGCCCAGATGGATTTGGCGCAGGGTAGTTCAGCGCGGGTGTTGTTTGTGCGGGATGTCCTGCGGGACACAGCCCGGCTCACGGGGACACGGGGCCGGGAGGATGCTGCACCGTGCCAAGGCGTGTCTGTGGTGCCGAGAGCCGCTTCAGCCCCCCGGTGCGGTCAGGGTAGACTTCCCACCTTTTTTACCAGGAAATAGAGGGGGGATGCGTGGAACCGGTGAGTCAAAGGTTACAATAAATGCCAATGATCAACTTAAAGGTGACATGTGGGAAACGTCCTCAAAGAATTGCTTTTGTGCAATAAAGAAATAGATGGGGGGATGCGTGGAGCCGGTGGGTCAAGGTTGTAATAAATGCCAATGATCAGTTTAAAGGTGGCTTGTAGGAAACGTCCTCAAAGAATTGCCTTTGTGCCTTGGGGGCATGGAAGACCCGGGGTGTTCAGCTGTGCGGGACCCCGGTGTTTTCTCGCTTTGCCCCAGGCCTGGCTCGGCCAGGGCCGTCCCTCCTGCACGTGTTGTGTGCTCCCCTTCGTGTCGCTTTTGCTTGCACCGGTTTCTCAAGCTTTGAGGTTAAACACGTGCAAAGTGGGAATTAACTCGGGCGCCGCTGGCCCCAGGCTCTGTTTTCGGCTGGAAGGGATCCGGCCTGGCCCGGCGGAGGGAAGGGGCGGTTCGGGGGGGTCGATGGACCCCTTCTCCCGCAGCCGACCCCCAGGAGCATCCCTGGCTCCCGGATCCACTCCTCCCCTGGCATTTTATCAATGGCCCCGCGTGGGAAAGCGGCGGCGTGGCCCCGCCCCCTGCCGCTCAAGCCACGCCCCCTTTGCCCCGCCGCACTCCTCGGGCGCGGCCCGGCCCCGCCCCCTCGGTGACGCCATCCTGGCGCGCCGGGGCGCCCTGGCGGCGGCGGGCGGCGATGGCGGCGGGGTCGGTGTGGAAGGGGCTGGTGGGGCTCGGCCTCTTCGCCCTGGCACACGCGGCCTTCTCGGCGGCGCAGCGTGAGTCACCGCTGCGGGACGGGCCGGGGCGCGCCGGGGCACCGCCAGCCCCGCACGGCCGGCGGGGAACTCCCGGGGCGGGGGCCGGGCCGGGCCGGGCCGGCATCATCATCATCATCATCATCATCGCCCTCAATAAACAGCCCGCCGGCGGGGGCGGCCCTGCCCGTGGGGCCGGGCTGGGGGAGAGCGGGGCGAGCCCCGTAGCGGCGGGAAGGGAGGGAGAAACGAAGGGTGGGAAGGGGGAGCTGCCGCCCGCCGGGTCGCGGCTCCAGCCCGGCCCCTGCCTCCTTCTCCAGCCCGGCCTCTGCCCCCCGCTCCCTCCGGCTCCAGCCCGGCCCCTGCCTCCTTCTCCAGCCCGGCCCCTGCCGTCCCGCTCCCTCCGGCTCCAGCCCGGCCCCTGCCGTCCCGCTCCCTCCCGCCTGCCCGGGAGGGTCGGGCTGCCGCGAGTCTCCGCAGCCGTTCCCCGGGGGCTGGCGTTGCCGCGCTGTTCACTCGCGGGCAGTGTTTGATGGGTGCCTGTGTGTTTCTGTTTTGTAGATCGCTCGTACATGAGGCTGACAGAAAAGGAGGATGAAACGTTGCCCATAGATGTAAGTTCTGGCGGTGTGTGAGGGGTGTAGCTGTGGGGTGGCTTAGTCTCTCAGTTGCTTCCTTTTGATGTGCTAGGCAAGCATAAAGGGTAAAGTCGTTTTTAAGCTGCACTTTCACTGGAGCTCTCACTGTCAAAAAGAACCCACACTTTTCATCCCAGCTTCCTGATCATGGTGTAGCTGTCAGTGAAACCAAACCCCAGATCCAGACCTCCCTCTCCTTTAGAACTACCCTGGAGCTTCTTGTCCAGGATTCCCTGGATGTGGCTCAGAGAGCTTTTCCACCCATGCCCTCCTTTGCAGCATAAACATCCTGCACCCCGTGGCTCTGGGGGGCTGACACCTGTTTACCCAGTGTGGCTGTTTGGCCCTGCACAGCCTGCTTCAGGGAGGGGGCTTTCATTTACTTTATTTGCTTGCTTTTCAAATTTCCACTTCAGTCATCTGTTCCCTGTCTCCTTAACCAGAAGGGCAGGGAGACCAGGAGAGCCAGGCACAGTGCCTGGCCCAGGCTGCACAGTGTTCCTGGCAGGAGTTTGGGTCCTGGAGAGCCCAGAGCACAGGGCTTGGTCTCAGCTCTTGCTGAGGAGCCGTGTGAGTTGGTTCAGTCAGTGCAGCCCAGACCTGTGCTGGGGCAGCTGCAGCTCTGCTGTGCACACGGGAGGGAATTTTAATTCTCCTGTGCCTCAGTTTCCCCCCTGCTGGACTGCCCACCTCTGTTTGCTGTCACTGGATGAAAAGCAGCAGAGATCCTGTGTGGGAACTGAGATGTTTTGGTACATGTGCAGAGCACCTGGTGATGTGTGTGTTGCACTGTGCTCCCTCTGTTGCAGATAGTCCTGCAGACCCTGCTGGCCTTTGCAGTCACCTGCTATGGGATAGCACACATTGCAGGAGAGTTTAAAGACATGGATGCCACTTCAGAACTCAAAAATAAGTATGTTTTATTTCTTCTTTTTGTACGTGCTGGTGTCTGCTTCTCTGTACAAACTGAAATCACTCATCTTTAGCTCAGTCCTTCAATGCAGTCTGTGGGCAGTGACCCCAGGGGAGCAGCCACACTTCCAAAAGCCAACAGTGCCTTGAGTTCTAGGGAGAGTTAGATAACAGGCAGAAATCAAATAAACTTCTTGCTTTTCCTCATCTGAAATGCTGCTGTGCAGACTTGGTAGAGGAATGAAATGTGGAGGTGGGAAGTGGAGCTCAGGAATCACCACCTGCTGTCATGATGTGGTCTCAGACTGCACGTCTGAGTCACTGGAGTCTCACACAGTGTATTCAAGGCAGGACATCTCTAAGACTTTAAGAAAATAAGGAATTTTGAATCAAGGTTTTGAAGAGGATGGTTAGAGCATGCCAAGGTCGTGGGTTCAACTGCTTTATGAGCCATTCACTTTGGAGTTGGACTCAATGATCCTTGGGAGTCCCTTCCAACTCAGAATGTTCTGTGGTTCTGACAGGAAATTGGATGGGCAGACGTTGCCTCTCAGGCCATTTCCAAAACCACAGGGGAGTATGGGAAGTGAAAAAGTTGACCTAATTGTATTTCAGAGTGCTCACCTAAAGCCTTTAGCCTGAGGCACCGGGGGATGGAAAGCTGAGCATCATCAGGTGTTAGCACAAGTGACAGCTGGACAAAGGCTGGCACGTGGTGTGTCTGCAGCAGCACCCACGGGCTGCCTGAGCTCCAGAGAGGAAGGGGAAGTTGGTGACGTGGACATCTTGTGGTCTTTTTCACAACTGGCTGTGAATTTCCTCATTGGTTCAGTTTAGAAAACTTAAAAGCAAGCAAGAGTTTGTATTGAAAACTTGTGTTTTTGTGTCTGAAGTCAATACACCCCAGAGTGACTGTTCTAAACTCCCTGCTCTGAGAGAGTATTAACCTTGGCTTTTTGCATTTATCTTGAAGGACATTTGACACATTAAGGAACCATCCATCTTTTTATGTATTTAATCATCGTGGTAGAGTGTTGTTCCAGTCCCCAGACACAGTGAATTCTTCTTCAAACCAAGACGCTTTGTCATCCAGCTCGGCACTGAAATTTCGGAAACTTGAACCTCTGCGCCGCTAAGACTTTTACAGATGACACCAATAACCCAGGACACTGAGATGTAATATTCAAGTCGGGGATGTAAACACTTTTTTAATTTCTGGAGCAGTATTTATATTGATCTTCCAGACTTTATAAAATATATATATATATAAATATATATATATAAACTAATGACCTTCTTTGTACACTGTTAATGAGAATGACTGAATTGTGGATTGGCAATGCAGTGTAAATTCTACAGTTATGCTGTGAAACACATCTTCAAAGTTTCAGATATTAAAATGAGTTGCAGCTAACTTAACTTCAGTTAAAACAAAAAGCAAGCTAGTATTTCCTGCAATTAATGTTCTTTGGCAGGAGGGAATGTTTGAGTGTATTTATTTTCTCAGTTTGCTTGCACTACAGTCTATGGATCCCCTCTGAAATGCTGTGTGCACTGCATCACTGAACAGCAGGAAAAGGGGCACCACCTGATCCTAGAATGCCTGTGGGACACCAGCACAGTGTGGCAGGGGAAATCAAAGAGATTGCTTTCATTTTTATTTGTTTTACAATGCTGAAAAACAGTTGTGTGAAGGGTTATTCTTTTTCCTGTTTTTCACTACCACATTATTTCCTCGTTGCCCTCCTTTGTTCCGTGTGAGTTGCCCCGGGTTGCCTGGGCTGTGCCTTGGTGCTGGTGTGGGGAGGCAGCTCAGCTCAGCTGCCACACTCCTCGTTCTCCAGCTGTGAACTGGGGAATGCTGAACGTTGTGTGTGTGCTGAACACGGTGTTGGCACCAGGTACAACCTCCAAGTCATCTTCATATTTAAGTATCAGTAAGAGCTGTCCCTTCTGTGAGTGATCCAGGGGTAGGGTCCAGCAGCTTGCTCTGTTTGCTGGCACTAGTCCAGGACAGCCACCCCTTTTCTGCCAACAGAGCTTTCCACTTGATTTTTTCAGCTGAGCCCCTCATTGATTTAATATTACTGTCTTGATTTCATGTATTAGAACTGATCATACTGTCCTTAACTCTTACTTATGTCTAAATTCTTATCCCCCCTCAGGGGCTGAATCAATGCTAAAATCTCTCTTGGTCTGGCTTTTCACCTCCATGATGCAGGAGAGGGAGGGTAGGTTGGGTTACTGGCGAGGCCAGCAAGAATTTGGCCTGGTTGGAGGATGTTTCACTGACACAGTGGAAACTCAGCCTTTTGTCCTGGCATATGTTGTGTTTGGTATTTTTTTAAACTGTTAATAACCATCAAAGGCAAAAAGCTTGGCAAAAATACTGTGTAAACCCAAGTCTCTTTCTAGCTCTGCCCATCCTATGGAGTGGGTGCCCCAGTGCTCGAGCAATATCCATGGCTGCTGCTCTACAATCACTCCTAAGCATCTGGGTTTGATTAGAAAGGGTTACTCTGCCAGCTGAAAGCATCTGAGCTGCAGGATTAGTTCCTAAAGTGTCCTGGTTCTCCTCTTGCTGGTGTCACAAATTGGCTCCTGCCAGCACCAAAGGCCTCGGAAATAGTCTTGGGTCATCCCTTCACTGCACAGAGCTGAGGCTGAACGTGGGCCAGGTGCCCTTGTGGGGCAGAGGAGAGACAGAATGAGCAGAGGGAGGCAGAAGCACAGCAGGAGCTCAGTAGCCACTGTCATAGACAGGTTCTGCAGCCATGGTTGCACTGAGCCCTTTGCAGAGGGCCTTAGAGCAGAGCTGCTCACACAGAACATCTGAGAAGCCTCGTTTGTGCTGCTGGAAGGCTACAGGGACCTGCCTGAGTGTGAGGTGCTGCTGGGACAGGGAGGTGGAGAACATCACCTGCTGCTCAGAGCAGGTCCTGTGGGAGCACCTGGGGCTGCCCCAGGGCCCTTCTCATGAGGAGTAGCCTCACTCTGCAGCGGTGGTTCTATCACAAAGCTGTACAAATTATTTTTTCTTATTGATCTCACAATGTCAAATAAAAATTGATATCCTAAAGTGTTTGTTTGTTTGTTTATTTCTGACCATCCTGCAGCAGCAAATCCCGGGTGAGTGACTATTTAAAAGTGACTGCCCAGCACTGACATGAAGTGATTGCCTTAATTATGGCAGTTCTGTGTGAGAGTGCTGTCTGGCCTGGTGTCCATTACTGGGAGATAAGATCAGAAGGGGGGGATCAAAATAGCTGCAAGTAGCTGAGTAAAACACTTAGGAGGGAAATATTACCAGCCTGGGGATCTGCTTGCCTTTGAGGCTCCTCGTCATCCTCT